TAGAGCATTTATACCATACTCCCTTCTCTCAAAGCTAAGAGATCATTGCAGAAGAGAGACATGAAGAATATAAGATCCAGAGGCAGTGGGTGACTACAAGGAAACAGTGTTTTTTTTATGAATACAGCAGGGTAACTGTGCATATGAACTCACAGGAGTTGTGATAGCATGCACAAGACAGGTCCAAGCTCAATTCACATAAAATCCCAGCATAGTGAGGAAGAACTGGCATTCAGTCCCACCTCTAGTCCTAGTGCTTGATATGCAGTTCCGGCTAGATCTCAGGCCAATTCTCCTGCCCCAGCCTCTGTAATGATGCTATTATGGCATGAGTCACTGTACCTGACTCTATATTTGCATTAGTTCTAGAAGGTTATGGAGTAATCTACTATTAGTAGTTATATTTGGTGTTGTAATTATAGGTTTGCTGCTGAAGAAAGGAGAGAGAGAAATTGATTTTATTACTTTTCTGTTTTTTTTTTTTTCAAGACAGGGTTTCTCTGTGTAGCTTTGGAACCTATCCTGGCACTCGCTCTGGAGACCAGGCTGGCCTCGAACTCACAGAGATCTGCCTGCCTCTGCCTCCCGAGTGCTGGGATTAAAGGTGTATGCCACCAACGCCCAGCTATTTTTTTTTCTGTTTTTATTTTATTACTTTTCATGTTAAGGGTATGCTTGGGAGTAGCTCACTGACAGTACTTTTCTTGTGTATAGGAAGCACTGAGCTTTTGGAATGCTACCCTTTACACAAAATTATTGCCCAAGTCCTTTACCTATGGCAGAACTTTAGGTTTCAGTATGTATCATAAAATAAAGTTGGCCTGAGAGTCCAATAGAAAGACAAAATTGACTTCAATTTCAGGCTTCCTTAGGGGAGAATTCGCCTTATCTTTTAAATGTCCACTCACTCACTGTTCCTCCTCTAAATGGTCTTCGCAATTTTAATGCTAATTGATTTTTATTACCTTATTTATTTTCTTAGTTAAAATTGCTCTTAGGAGCTTTAAAAATAACTGTGCTTCTTTCATAAGCTTCTACTTAATAGACATTGTCATAATAGGTCACCTTTAGCATTGCTAATGTTGAGACCCCAGCACATTTCTAGCAAATCAAATCAGGTTTTATTTAGTTCAATTTAAAGAATGAATCAGCTTTAGATGTCCTCTAAATGAATTACAAATTAATTGGCTGAGTGTGTTCAGTGTTCTGTTCATTACTCCTTACATTCTGACAATAATGTAGGTTAACTCGCACTGGAGAATTCTGTGCAATGGAAATACATGGAAATATTCATAATGGCTGTCGTGGTGAATTATTTAAATCTTCCTAGAATCTTCTACAGTTTATTTTATTCTTGGTTTTGAGAATTTTAACAACACAGCTGTTGTGCAATCAATGTATTATGAACACCTGATGTGGTTTTTATGTTGCAAATAACTTGTGATCAAAAAAACAAAACTCAGATGACATGTTTGGATTCATTCATTGAAAACATATAATTTAGTACTAGTACTTACAATATATAATGTTTAACTTTTTAAGTAAGGAGGAACAGATACAGATTTTCACTAATCATTTTAAGATTAATTTTTAAATTATGTGTATGTGTCTGTGTGCCTGAGTGTGTTTGTGCACCACATGTTTGCAATTGCCCATGGAGCCAGAATAGGAGGTCAGATCCCTTGGAACTGGACTTATAGGTAGTTGTGAACTATCTAATTATCAGTGCTGGGAACCAAATTTGGTTCCTGAAAGAACAGTATAGGCTGTTAACTGCTAAGCCTTCTTTCTAGCCCCTTGTAATTGAATTTCATAATACACATATTCACACACACACACACACACACACAAACACACACACACACACACACACACAC